CACCAAGTTCCCCTTCCAGCAAGTTGCTCCCACCCTGCTCAAGGTGTTCAACCTGCTTGGGGTGTGAGTGCTCCTTTTCTCCAGCTGGCTATCTCAGCAGGGTGCCAGCAGAGACACTGCACCTTCTGCCAGGTCCCTTCACGAAAAAGCTGTCAGTCCCCAGGAGGAGAAGGCCCCTGCCAGAGCCTCAGCATCTGGATCTCTTCAATGGAGCAGGCTGGAAGCCTCAAGACGCGGGAGGAATTTCTGACAAGGTCTCCCAACTTAGTCCAACAAACGTATCCACCATCTGCTGAAGTTCATGTGGCTGAAATGCATGTGGGAATTGCATCACCACCACCCAGCGCAGACAATGCCACCTTCTCCTTTTATTTTCCTCTTCGTTTGGCACCCTCTGGGCTGAGCTATGCCCACTGCCTTCTGCCAGCTCATACAATTAGGGCTGTGGTAGCTCTGCCATAGTGCTGTCTTCCCCATTTCTCCAGGGCTGCGCTTTCAGAAGTTTGAGTCTACCCACTTCCAATGTCCTGGAGGGGCACAAGGCATCACCAGCTTATTTACAGTTAAAAAATGTTTTCTAAATGGAGGTTCAAGCCAAATCTCTGCTCCAAGGAGTCTCACCACCATGAACAAACCCTGGGAAAGCTCCAGAAGGGATGCGCTTTGGCCCAGCATCCATCTCCTCTGGTTGTTTTACCTGTTGTCCTTCCTCTCTAATAGAGAGTCCTTCCTGTGCCCCAGATTTTATGAGGAAGTTTCACTTTTAGCCTTTTGCTGCACTATTAAAGTAGCTGGACTTTAATAGACTCTACATGTTGCTTTAAGGACAAGGAAACAGCTGGAATCAGCCTGGGCGCACTCCATCCAAGATGACTGAGGGAAGGATGGGAGCTTTTTGGGATGCCTGGATCCATTCCAGGTCAATCCTGTGCTGGTGACCTGGTTACCCAACCTGGAGCATCTCACCTGCCCTGGGCTCCTGGCCAATCTGCCCAGGGTAATATGTGCCTGCTCACTGCAGGATCCTGTAGAAAAGCCTGATAAAACCACGCTGAGAGAAGTGACATCCGTCATCTGGACTGGAGCAGCCACCACCTCATCATCCTTGAGGGGAAGTTTTCAGAAGCCAGCAGAGATAACTGCTAAATACCCACACCTCCGTGTCACCCACACCGTACCCACAGCCAGAAAACCATAGATGACAGCAAAGTCATCCCAGCGTGACCACGCTGCTGTGACATACCCTCAAATGCACAATTTCACGTACCCAGACGTGTCACCAGATGCACGACGGGGCTAGAAAACCCCTTCCTCAGAGCTGTTCTGTGGTTACCGGCAGCAAAGCTATTAAACCCCCTTTGCAGCCCCATATGCATTCACTTCATGCGTTTAATCCTGACAGCCCTCGTAAATTCTTCCTGAAAAGAAAAGAAAACCCTTGTTTCCCCTCCCCCCTGAGCTACCGCTTCTTGTTAAATGTCATTAAAAGCAGAACCCACAATAACATCAGTCCCGGGCTGAAGGTTGCAACCACCTTGACTGTAATCCTGGCGTTGGCGCTGGATGGGAAGAAAAAAAAGGCACTAAACTAGATACTTCCTTCCACTTCACTGTCAGCTCCACTTTGCATCAAAATCTCCTTTGTATGTCACACCGTTATTAAAGTTGTGGATTGTGGCTGGGAGTGTGTGTGTGTGTGTGTGTGTGTGTGTCTGTGCCTGTCTCTCAGAAACTGGGTCACCCGGGGAGCGCTCCGTGAAAACTCTGCCCTGACAAATACGGGCTGGCAAGACTCAAAGATACCCCCCTTATAATGTTTTTTTCTGCCTCCCATCATGCTTTGAAAGGAGCAAATAATACTACTTTCTGCTGTGTTTTCGTATCTTTTATTCAGCAGCTTCCTGAGGTAAATAACCTCCGGCAGGCAAATCTAAGGGGATGCTCCTATCTCGCCTGCTGTCTGCTCACACTGAAATCATGATATACTTTGCTTTCATGAAGCTCTTTATAAAACATTCCTTTTTTTTTCTTTTTTTTTTCCAAGGAGCAGCTATCAAGGAGAGCAAGCAACTCCCCAGATTTGGCTCAGGCTGCAGTCCCAGCCTCTTGTCATCCTTCTCTCCCCCCTCGCAGCCCCAGGGATGCCGGGAGGGCAGGTCCCCAAAGCAGAGGGGACCTCCTTGGCCATCTCCCCGCTCAGAGCAGGGGGCTGCTCTCCAACCGTGGTCCTTCTTAGCAGCCAGGCAGCCTTTTATGCCCATCAGGGCTCTGAATAACACAGTTTCTGTGTGAGGCTGAGGGGGGAATCCTGTCACCCACCTGCCTTCAGTGGGGCAGGGAGATGGGGGGAACCAGCAGAGCGTGGAGTGGGGCTGGCCCAGCCTGGTACCACACAAGGCACAGGCTGTTTGAGGGGGCGAGCGGAGGGGAACCGAAACTTGCTGACTCTGGGCAGGTCAGAAAATATGTGGGCCACAGTCTCCGGAGCAGCAAAGAGGGGGAAGACTGGGTTTTCTTATTAACAGCTTATTTTAATACTTAAAGCATCAGTGAAGGGATGGCAGAAAGAAATACCCTGGCTGGGAGGGCTTTGCTGCTGAGGCAGGATTGCAAAGAGGGTCTTGGGGGTGAAATAGTGCTTTTTTTTGTGCTACTGTCACACTTATTTCCCTCAAAGGAAGCGAAACTTAAGTGAGTGTGAGCAGGGCCAGCGATAGGAACGGGGTTGGAAGGACCTGACTTCAGACACACATTTGCTGGCATGGTGGGGTGGGGCTGTAGAGGAGGATTTCATAACCCTAAGATGGGGGAAACGGAGTTGAGGAATGGAAAATGCAGCTTTCACGGGCTCTGATCCAGACCCCCCCTTATCTTAGTGCTTCACACAAGTAAATCACAGTCTGCAGGTCGTGATCCCCGTTTTACCAGCAGAGAAAATGAGGCAGGGCAAAGCCAACAGGCAGCACTTCTCATCTAGGGGGGCTCAGCAGCACCCAAGGAGGGAAGCAGGCAGGGATGGCAGCGAGCCCTTCCCAGCAGAATACACTGCTTGGAAAAAAAACCCAGGGGGATTGTACCCCGGGAGCAGGGGAGGGGGCACAGGCTGCCACCAGATCCATCACTGAGATGAGTGACTTTCCATGATTTCCTTGCGAATCCCACAGCACAGGAGCTGAATCACTGCAGAGGATCCCAGCCCTGCCACATGGGGCAAGTTCGGGTTTGTTTTGGGTTACTAAAGCCAAGAATTGCTCACCCAAAGTCCTCTGGTGGATGCATTAAACTGGACCACCAGGCTGCAGAGGGGGGACACTGGAAAACAGTCTCCTCAAGCCCACTCTGTGTCCTCTGGCTAATGTATTCAGCAGGGAGTTTAGGGGATCTAAAGAGAATGAATTGTCAGAGCATCGGAAGCAAGAGATGGCAGGGGAATCACTGCTAATCCTTCCTGCGGGCCAAAACACTCCAAAGGATTTAAAAGGCTGTTTAAAAAATGTGAAAAATAAAAAAAATAAAAAGAAAATAAGATACCCCTCCCTTCTTTTCCCTTCTTTCATACATTTTGGGTTGGTCACCGGCTGCTGGCTGGGAGATGAAAGAAAGTAAAGAGAAACTTTGAGGAGAGGGAAAGGATGTGAGAGGGGGAGAGGAAAAGATAAAGACTGGAGATTAGATCTGGAAAAAAGTCTATCTTACCCTCTCTGGGAGTGTAGGCTGCAATTAAATCTCTTTTGCTTAACAATATCCCATTGTTATTTGCATAGCACTCCAGAGGTGGCGATAAGGGAGGAAGGAGCTGCGGGGGGAGGAGGCAGCAGTCCTTCCCTTAGCGCTGAGCTGGATGTGGGGCTGAGCCCTAGAGGAGGGGGTGACCCCTTTCTTCAGCTGAGAGTCTGCTCCACGGCCAGTAATGAATGTTTTTTGAGCAGCTCTGATGGGAGGATTTTGGATGGGGGGGGTGGAGGGGTTGGGGGGGTGTATACCCTCTCCCTGCTTACACATCTCCTTTGTAGACATGGTCAAGACTTTACTTTGGTCGCCCTTTCAAGCTTCTCCTTAATTCTTCTTTTTGTGCACCCCCTCAGCTGCGGTGCAGCACAAGATGCTGCCGAAGGAGGGGTACAGCAGGGTGTTGTGGGGGTGCCCAAAGTCTTTTTGGGAAGCGGAGCCCCACACTTTACCCATCAGCTCACAGCACAGAGACCCCCTCCAGCAGCTGAGATTCACCCCGCTGCGAAATTGTGGCCACTTTCCCCGAGATCCTGCACCAATTCATTTCCTACTCTTCTCATTCCACTTTTCCTTGATTTTCAAGGCTCTCACCAGAGCTGTCCTCAATTATGCAATGTTTCTCTCTCCATGCTCGCAGCGGCGCGGGGAGGTCCACGCTGGCGGATTATTGACTTTGCCCTCTCCATGACCTTGAAGCTGAGGAAGGTTAGCGCTGCTGGCAGATGGGCTCTTCTCCTGCAAATCATGCTTTGCTGTCATTTGTCCCAATTCTCAGCCCGAGCTGCGACGGCAAAGAACAACTTGTTAAGGAATTGCTTCTCTCCTACCACGTTCACTCGCCCTTGGTCTCGGGCAGTGGGTATTGATTGACTGCACCTACTCGAGATGTTTTGCAAAAGGCACTTAGCAAAACTCATTCGGGGGATTCTTCAGTGGTTTGTTTGGTTTTTTTTTTTAACTGCCTGAACTACAGGTGTGATAAAGCCAGGGGAAGATTTAACTTTCAGAGGGTCAGGGTAAGGGCTTTCCCAGAAGCGGAATTTCCATTTTGTCAAAGGTTCTGCCTTTCAGCGTGGTACCACAAAGAAAAATCTGAGTTCTCCCACAAAATGAAATTTGCTTTTTTGTAATTTGGGTAGGTGGAAAGATGGTTACATTTTGGTTTTGTTTCGGAAGGCTAGTCAGATTACATAAATAGAAATTTCCAAACGAAAGGGTGCTCTGAGAAACAACAGCTTAAGCCTAAACTGACATTTTTAAAAATGATGTTGTGGAGCAATTTAACTTTTATTTGAAATCCTTTTTTCCAGCCTCTCCAAAACATTGCAAAAAATCACTGTTTCCGTGCAAAATGTCTGTTCCAAAATTACAACCCCATGCAATACTCAACCAGAAACCCTGCTATGACGATTTCTGTTCCGTAGATTCACCACGCTGCCTCATTAAATTACATAAACCACCTACAAAATAGCATTTCCCAAAGGACAAACGCTTTTTCAGAAAAGTTTCAACCTGTTCCTGTCAAGTAGCAGTCGGTCCAGAGAAACCAGCTGCTTTTTCTTGTTTTGTTGATATTTTTTTTAAGCTGACACCGGGAGCCTGTGCTAATGCTGGGGGAGGCCAAGGGAGCATCCCCGCCGCGCTGCTCCCCCAGCCAGCCAGATCCAGGCAGGCGTCGATGCAAATGGCTTTAGTTTTCAGCTCTCACATAATGTCTCTGCTGCAGGCGTGGAGATCACAAACGCAATCATGCTAATGAGGGCTCGCTTCGTTCAGAGCCCTCCCTGCAAACCACATCTTGGTGATGGTGCTGGCACATCATATGGCCCTCGCCTCCGAGACATCACCCTCCGCAAGGCGAGCAGGACCCCAGCTTCATCCCTCCTGGCATCTTGCAGGGGTCAGATTAAATACATTGTGAAATCAGGGCACATCCCCATTATGGATGAAATGAAATAGCTTGGACGCAACACCCCTTTGGAGCTTCATCTCCATCTGTTTTTACGACCTTAGTAAAATAGATGCTTTAATAACTGGAACGTGTTCAGCTGTTTCCATGAGAGATGAATGCAGACCTGCATGGATGTTTGGTTGGCTGCTCAGTTATTCCCCCAAACAAGTAAATAACATCAAAGCTACCTGCTGCACGGTGAACACTTCCAAACAGCAATGCACGCCAACATGTTTGGAAACATGAACACATTCAGAGTTTTCCTTTGGAAATTCGCTTCCTGTAACACAGGGAAATATGTGTGTGTGTGTTTCTGTTTGAACCACAATATTTTCCCCATTTATAGGATGGGGGAAAGTTGTTTTGAGTCTTCCAAAAAGAAATCTACTTTGTCTGCGCTGGGTAAATTGTGAAAATATGATTTTTCACACAGTCTTTTCCCTCCTAGACTGGAAGCTGGGCACTGCCAGGGCAGGTTAATGACCCCTCGGGGAGGGCTGGGAGTCACTCACCCACCAGAGGATGGACACTTACAGCACATGGCTGTGCCTGCCACCCAGGTCCCATCAAGGGGTGTCTGTGTCACCAGCCAGCCTGTCCTCCTCCACGCCACAAAAATACCCTCCCGGTTCTGTTGCTGAAGGTCTCAGTAATAAATCAGCTTGTATCTTCAAAACATCAGCTACTGCTGAGGCCAAGTGACATCTAAATGCACGGAGGGAAGCGGGAGTGATGGTGACTGTCCTCTTGCAGAGGATGAAGCTCTTCCAAACTCCCTTGTCTCCAGCTTCTGCCTCACTGCACCCTCTCACTCCCCTCACCTTTTCCAGGAATTATGGTGGGTTTTTTGCTTTCTCTCAGGCAGTAAGAAAGCCTGGGGCAATTCACATATCCATCTCTGCTGCAGAGACTCTGAAGAAGAGGAGGAGAACCAAGCGACTGGTTTCTTTTTCAGTTGTACTTGTGGGAGCCTCCTCTCAGCATCACCTCACCTCTCCTCCTGAAGTTGCTTTGATATTCAACAAACAGTTGCTTTTTAAACAATACTGTCCTAAATCCTTATTATAATGCCCGGAATCACTTGCAGGCTTTCTGAAACTCATAATTACAATCAAGAATCATAGGACTCTCTGCTTTGTGCCAGAAATACATATACACTGAATTGTTTGTAGACAAGCCACGGAGAGAAAGAGCGAGGGAGAAATGCTGCTTTGGTGCTGCTCAATTCAGGGGCAGGAACTCCCACCTCATTTAATTTTTTTCTCGTTTGTTTTCCAATTTGACTTGTAGCTGCTGAAAATCCGGGCTAATATTTGCTTTGCCCTCCGTGCTTTTCTTTAGCCTCAACGCAGGGAACCTCGAGCTGTGCCCTCGCTTACTGCACCCTCTTCCCAGCTCCAGCAGCCTCTGCCCTGGGGTGAGGAGCCAGGTCTGCAGGTGGGATGCAGCACTCAGCACCCATCCATCACCGAGGAGGTGAGGAGCTTCAGGAATCACTGCAACAGGACCTGGCAGATGGCAAACTCACTCACTTGGCAATTGAATGCAGCATCGGGCTTAGTTTTATTAAAGCTTCATCTCACGGGTCACAAAACACCTTAGAGAGGGCTGTGGGGTGTTTGGGTAGTGTTACCCCAATATCCTACTGACACAGCACGTAAAGAGGGAACTGTGATTCAGCTTTTGCCAGCAAAAGCCCCAGAACCAGCTCTCCCTCTTCTGCAAATAGTGTCTGATGTGGCTCTCCCTTATCACCCGCTTCCCCGGAGAAGTCGGAGATGTCGCTGACTGGTGCTCGGAAAACTGAGATGGATCAGGCCCTTTCTTCTGAATAAATATCAGATCTGATTCACCACTCAATTGCTTCTGTTTTATCTCTGTAGAACGCCATTGATTATAGAAGGATTTGCAAGTTTAAAACTAGACTAATTCAGTGATTAATCCCAACCAAAGCCTTCCGTAAATAGAGAGCAATACTCCAGCACTATTCAATATTCCACACGTCAATGGGGTGCTCTGTAATATGATTCAATGGCATTTAGACTTCCCTTCCCTGTCTTCAGGGTGGTGCTGGGATGCAGTCAGTTTAGCTAACCCAGACTTTTCTCCTCTATCTCTTCTCCCTGCAAAATGTCAGGCACGTTCTCAGGGAAACAAAGGCAAAACTCTCCCTTCCAGTGACTGTCCTGTCCCACGCAGCAGCCGAACCCTTGGAAAGACTGACCACACGTGTGGAGATATCAAGAAATACCTCGATTTCAAAGGTATCAAGCATTTCTGCAGCTTTTTTTCTCATCCCACTGATCTTTGGATATCACACGAAAACCTCGAAGCACTCTCTTAAACTCTATATAATCTGGATATAAATAAGAAATTCAGGGGATGGAAATATCTGGGGGGTACGATATTTGGTCTTGGTCTAACGAGAACTGAAATAAACACTTTGGGGAAGTTTTCCACCAATGGCAACCCCCCCACACACTGATGACATCATTGCTCAGCTTCACTGAGTAGCTGCCATGCAGTCTGTGGCTGCAGGGCACCCCGTTTCCTTCTGCAGGGTTTTTCCCCTGAGTCATGGTGCCCAAGGAGGTGGACCCATGCCTTTCACAATTCAATTCTTGTTTCTGCTTCCCACCATTTTTAGAGCTGAGAATCCTGTACCTGTGCTCTCCCCTGGAGAACCTGGGGTTCACTCAAAGCAACAGACCCTGAAGTTCCATTGGATAAATGGTCCCAGGACCCAAATCCACTTTCAGAGGCAGACAAATGACCATAAGAGCAGTCCATCTATTCACTATCCCACCAGAACTGGGTGGACTGCTGTACCAGCTTTGGTTGACAGCTACAGACAAACATGAAGCTCAGGCATGGGCAGCTCTTCCAGCTGTTGTTACTCCTTAGCTTGCAAGTTCCCTTGAGAATGGGTGACCATCAAGGCAGGTATTTCTGTAGTGCTTTCACAGTGTCTCCATCCACTTCCTCCAACTCTGAACAGCCAGAGAACCAGCTTAGAAGCACCAGCCATCAGCCAAGGCTGGGATGGGAAACAGAACAGAAGTGATGTCTCCTTCTCTCACATGAGCTTTACCTCCTCATGATTCCATTTTTTGCCATCTAACAGGACTCCTGTCAGCTGCCTCCAGAAGATGTGCTTGCTTATCTCCTTGTTTTTCCACTCCAGATAGGTGTTCCTCCTCAGGTATCGGGACAGTCCCAGCCTCTGCCTCAGCAAGGCCTTATTCACTTCTTCTAGTACAATCATGATGATTCCAGCCTTTCCTTCAACAAGCTGCCAGGACTGGGCAATGTCAAACTCAAAGCTGCACCACTTGCTCTCCAGAAAGTCACTAGAGATGACTGCGATGACATTTCTGCTACTCAGAAAACCTTCTTCAATTATATTGGTCACAATGGGTACCCCTGGCAGGAAATCTCTGGAGTAAAGACAAAGCTGGAAGGGAGGTGTTCCTCCTTCTAAGGGTTCCACCAGCTCCTTCATCACCCATTCATGGTCTTTGCTGGAGTGGATAACAAATGCATCATAGGTGCTACCCCTTTCTGCTGAGCGTTTACACCCACTGAGCAGCACCAATGAGTAGTACAGCTGGAAGTAGTACTTGTAAATCAGCAAGAGGAACACCACTACAGCGAGCAAAGTGATCACCGAGCAGGACACTATGCTTGGATTGACTTGGCAGGAGGACAGATCAAAGCCTGACAGGCTGACTTTCTTCACGTACGCCGGCGTATGGCAAATCATCAGCTCCTTGTTCTGCAGTAGCTCCTGCTTTTCCTTGATCCATTTCAGGAAGTTCAGGTACGTGCAAGAGCATTCAAACAGGTTTTGAGAGATGTCCAACAGGACCAGACTTTCAGGCAGGATTTCCAGGGCTGAGTCCAAGAGAACACTCAGCTGGTTGTTGCTGAAATCCAGGGCTGTGAGGGCTTGAAGAGGTTTGTAGACCACGGGATCAAAGCTCAGTAGCTTATTGTTGCTGATATTTAGCTCTTTTAGTCCAGAGAGAGCATCAAATGTGCTTTGATCCACCTGTACTAATTTGCAACCCGAAATATCCAAGGTGTGGAGGTTACTTAAGTTTTTGAAGCTGTTGGCCAGTATATTGTTCTCAAAGGAGTTGCCTGCCATCTTGAGCACTTGCAAAGAGTTCAAGCCACAAAATGTACACTGGGATTTAACATGAGTTCTTGTATAGGAAATATCAAGGTAAATGAGTTTCTGAAGGGATAGAAAGACAGGGTAGGAGCCAGGACCAAATAACTTAGTGTGCTGAAAGTCCAAATATAATAAGTTCTTCACATTAGTGAAATCTCCAGTCACACCGATGTCAGCATTGAAGCTTAGGTTCAAGTGTTTCAGATTTGGACACTTGCGAAACTGAGGGGAACAGCAGCTACTGAAGGAGAGGCGATTCTCACTCAAGTCCACGACCTCCAGGTTACTCAGACTCTCAAATTTCTGCCGGAAGCTATTGAGGTGTTTGCTCTTGGTGATACGAAGCACTCTCAGCTCCTTGAAAAGAGACAGCTTAATGGCAGGCACTTCCTTAAACTTGCATGTCTTGCATTCCAGCTGTTTCACTTGAGAGAACATAGGAACCTCTGACACCTCTTCAAGTTCAAGATTCACTAACCGAATGCTGGAGACGTTGCCTATGCAGTTAAAAAGCGTGTCTGTGTCATGCTCAAAATCCCTGAAACAGATTAAGACAAACTCTTGCATTTTTACCTGACACAGTCCGCTCAGGAGTCCACTCTGAAAGTCTTCCAGTCTCTGATTGTTGCTGAATTCTCCAACTATTAGTCTGTTGACCTGTAAACCAGTCAGGCCTTGAAGAGACGTTTGCATCACAATGAAGTTCTCAAAAGAGGACCTTAGAACCAACTCACCAAGGCGAATTCCTGCGAAGGACCCTGGCTCTATATGTTTTATATCATTCAAGGAAAGCACCAGTGTGAGGTTGAGCCTGTTCACTTCCCTCAGGGGATCAAGGTCTCCTTTGGAGATACACGTGATCTTATTGGAGAAGAAGCTTAGGTGCCTGAGAGAGGTCAGGTTGGCGAAATACTTGGGAAGCTTCAAGGAAGCGATGCTATTGTGGCCCAAATTCAGCTCCTGCAGGGTATGCAAGTGTCCGATGGGCAGGTCAGACAGAGAAGCGACGTTGGTTTCCACCAATACTAGCTTTTTCAGAGATGTTAACCCATAGAAGGCTGCTGCCCCCAGGTACTGGAGGGAATTGGCAGTTAAAACTAAGGTGGTCAGTTTATGAAGATCCTCAAAAGAGTTATCCTCTATTGTATGGAGCTGGCACCTGTTGGGTGGAAAAAGAGAATAAATGTGCATGAAACACTGTCCTTTCCATTACGTGTTCGCTGACATCACTGCACTCAGTGCTGGTGCAACATTCTCAGGCTCAACCTCGTGCTGGGGGTTGGTTTGGCTTTACTGAGCCTGGCAGAGCCAGCACTCCTGAATGTGCAAAGGGAACCCTTCCAGAGGAGGTCTTCTCTCACTTCCTCCTCCTCCCTCCCTAAATCTGAAGTTCAACTGCAAAGCAAGAGACCTTGAGCCACGGCGAAGGCAAAAAGTTCATGCAGGCAGCAGCAGCAAAGAATTCTACCTTTCTGTTTAGGCCCAAGTAACACGTAATGACCATCATCGGTGGGAGAACCAACCAGATACAGCACTCCCTTACACCTCACACCCTCAGCCTCAGCCACATCTGGGCAGTCCCACTGGCACCAGTATGATGTAGCAGTGACAAAGCTCACACCTCTGTCAGCAGTTTTGCTGATGACATCTGAGAGGGAACAGACCCCAGGCCATGTTGGCTCCAAGGGTGAAAAGGAAAAAGGGGAAAAAGAGGGTGGCCACCTAAAGATGGTTTCATATGGGAAGATCCAGAATGTGAGACCCAAATCCATTCTGCAATAAATTCAAGCAAAATTAATTTTATAATCCAGCCAGCGCCTTACAGCAAACCTGCTCTGCCACTCAGCCACTTTGGAGCTGTAACTGTGATGGGACTGAGTGACATTTTTCAGAGAAACAATTTACCCAGAGAAACTGTTGTCTCGAGTCAATGGAAATTATACATCAATTCAAATTTGCTAATAAGCCTCCCCCATCTCCTCCCCCAGATATGTGAGGAGAAGGGAAGAGAGAATGTGTTGATATTTTAAAACAGCCTTTTAGAAAATGAATGTACCTTCATTTTATTTTTTTTTAAACTGTGATTAGAAAAACAGCTCAACCAAGATGTTCTACTTCAGAGTTTTTGTAACAGTGAAAAGTCTGACATTTTTCTTGTTCAGAGAGAAGTAAAACATCTTCCTCCTCCTTCTCACATCCCAGCCTACAAGATCAGAGTGACAGACCCAGCGTGCTGGACTAAAACCAGGGTGTAACTGGACTAAAAGCTGCACATCACTGGCCCACGGGGATGTGCACAGAGACAGACACAAGGACAAAGTCACAAGCCAAAAAAAAAAAAGAACAGTGAGGACCAATAGACCCCAAAATAAGCAACCACGGCGGCCCAGCTGGTGAAGCAAGATTAACTGGTATCCACATAAAAGAGCTCATTACCTCGTAAGATCCAGAAGCTGCAGCTCAGGGACTGATGAAAAATAATTTGGCCCCAGTGATTTCAGATTGCTGAAACTGAGATCCAAGTTCTGGGTGGTATTTGGGACTTCAGCAGGAACCCCAGAGACGTTCAGTCCCGTGCAGCTGAAAGTTTTGTTCGGGATGACCTGTAACAGTGGCAGATCCAATCACAGTCAACATCTGCTCTTCATGAACTGCCAGAAAATTACACTCTCAGGAAAGCAGGAGCAGAATGACTAACCTTGCAGTTAATTTCTAAATGAGCTGCCCCGAGTTCTAGGAAATAATCTTATATATCCTAAGCATCTTTCCCAATTCTAATAGAGCCAGTCCTGCTCCCCAGGAAGAGTGACATTTTTTGCTGATTGGAGCAGGTGCAAAACGACAGGAGAGTGTTCCTTGAGGCTACGGATGAACCAGCAGCCACCTTTGAGAGAGCCAGCACAACAAACACACGGGGATGCATTGTGTGTCCAGGATCAGCTCTCAGCTCTGCCACACCACAGGTGAGCAGGCAGCTCTAACCACAGCTATTCTGTAAGCAATAATCGTTGGCAAAACTTTACAAAAGGTGGTTGGTCAGGGCCAGGTACTCGAGGTGCTGGTGAAATCACTCTACGGTAAAAATCTGGCAAAAATACTGCATTTTGCAGAAAATATAGACACAGCTTGGATGTATTCCTGAAGGGAAACATAATCTATTAGGTTAACTGTACTGCAGTAACCTCAGAGGTACAGAAAGACAAGAAGAAATGGTTCATGCTGCTGTTTCTGGTTCTCAGATGTTTTTGAGACCAGCATTTACTTCAAGCACTTCAATTGCGCTGGTAACAAACAGCCTTGGAAAAAAAAAAAAAAAGACAAAAAAGACAGGCTTTTGTAAGACAACTAACACACAACAGACTCTGTGCACAAATCTGCCAGGCAGGGGGAAAAGTTGTACCAGAGAAACAGAAGGGGTTTGTGCTCGTTTAGAGATCACGTACCTCCAAGCAGGGACTGAGGAGGCAGCCTGCCAGCTGTGATGGGACCAGCAGCACCACGAGTGTCCACGGAGGAAGAGGTCCTCTCCTGGGCATCTTCAGGAGGCCAGGGGTGCAGGAGAAAGCAGCATGGGTATCACCCGAGGAGCTGGAGCAAGAAACCTCCTGAAGCACCAAGCGTTGTGTTTTACCACTCCTGCTTCTCACCACATGTCGCTGAGGGAAGTGAAACTGGTAGCTGTCTGGTTTCTAGACACGATCCAAGTGAACTGCTCTTCTTGCAATTGTTTTTTTAAATAAAAATGCCTAACAAGAAAAAAAGGAAGCAATGAAAGTTACATTTTGGACTAGAAATTAAAGCAGAATATGGGTTGTATCAGTGCGTCTCTCGCCGTGATTGCTTCAGGTCCAACTGGCAAAAAAAGGGAAACTTTTGTGAAATTCTGAGTCAAATTTCTCAAAGGGCGTGCACTTCACATCCCATAATTCAAATGCACCGAATAGAGAGAATGACTCTCTGCCTTTGTACCCCTGGCATGTTCCCAGTGACACCACACTGGCAAGTGGTGGAGACGTGCTTCTGAGCACACATCTGGGTTTTATCCATCTGGCTGGAGCACAGCACTGCAATTATTGCAGGAACAGGTTGTACATGGCCAAGCACAAGGTGTAAATACCTGAGATTCATAGAGAGGTCAGAGCCCAGGACCTTACACCCCTCCACAGCCCCCTTGGGGGGTGGGTTGCTGGGGAGCAGCAAGCCAGGGAGAGGCACAAGCCCCCCAGCTGGGCTTCGGGCTGCTATTTCCCTGGTCGTGCCCCGATCTGTGTTTGATGCCTTGCTACAAAAATGAGTACATCTCAATACCATCCTTAATTTACAGTGCAGACACGGCTATTGTTTCTGGAAGAGGCTTTGTGAAACCTCACAGTTGGCAATATTAATTTAAATCAGCTGTGAGCCTTCTAATAAAGCTCCCAGCCTTCATTTACTCTGATAAATGGCAGTGCATTCATGTATCTACTCCTGTCTTTCTGTAGATAACTAAGAAGTGCTACTGGGGATCCAGCCATAGGCTTCCTGGGTATTATTAACACCACATAGACAGAGAAACTGCAAAAACGTGAAATGAGGATGGGATACTAGTCTGGAAGTAGATGGAATAGGGAATGACTACTCATGAAAATCTGTGAAAATTGATATTAAATAAGCTGCAGTTAAATCAGGCCAGTGAGCAATCCACTTATAAAGAAAAGTTTAAAATATGGGGGGGGTGTGGGAGGGTGGTGGTGGATTGGACTTCTTTGGCAGGTCAGTAGAGAGCCACTGAGAGGTTGGGAAATCCTAAAATCACAGATGATCTCTGCGATGAAAAACACATGGCAGCACAATGGGAGCTAAAACCGACACCCTGATGTGCAGCCAGATAGTGCCCATTAAGCCAGCAGACAAAAAGTTTGTTGAAATTGGGCAAGTTCTACAAAATCCCTGTTCTGAAAAGCCTCTCGTGATTGCAGGTATTTCCTTTTAGAGACAGAATCAAAAGTGAATGGAAACAATTGCCGGCTGCTTCTGTGCCTGGATTAAGGAAATTGGCAGAGCATCATGTGTCTGCAGAGAGGACAAATGAGTGCATCTTTTAGTATTCAATATGCAGAATGAAGCAATCCACATTTAATTTTTATCTAAAGCAGAGATGAGCCTGAAGTAGGCTCTAAAAATTACCATTTCAATGGAGTCTCGCTGAAGATGCTGGAGAGTTTGGGAGCATCACAAGATCCGTCCAACAGCCACGCTCAGGGGTCAAGTGGGAAGTAGGGCTTGAAGGACGTTCAAAGAATGTGCCTCTTCCAACACAAGGGACAGCTTCACAATACGCATTGTCATTTCTTCAAGGACAAATCATACAGAAACTGCAAGGGATGGGGCACCCAGCCACCAGTTTAGAAAGTCAATGCTGGCTAACTTGGTATTCTTCAGCTTGCATACAACAATGTGCAATGAGTGCAGAAATCCGTAATACGTATGTAATTGCCTCTTTCGGTTCACCAGAAACAAAAGCATTATTTGGAATCCTTTAAAGTGACAAGAATAACATCTAAAATGAAACATGATTCACTGTGCTGGCAATTTACTGGTGGGATCATCAAAGATCTCTCAGAAAGGAGATGTTACAGAAAATCTGTTGTTTCTAAAAACACACGCCCAAGTAATCTTTGTTCTCCTGAACATTATTATAATACAAGGAACACAGCAGCAGACAGCCATACGCAGCCTCTGTGATCTCAAGCAAGGTTTTACATAGCATAAGATGGACACAATGCAGCTGGACTGACAAAATATCTTGCACTTGCTTGTATTAAAAGAAAATAATTCATGAAGTCCAGTGAAAAAGAAAAGTTAGCTAAACTCCTGGACAAGACAACTGGTGATAGCCATGAAAACAGGCAGGGCTGTCTGTATCTATGGTGTTTTCAAGGTCATGGCTATCACCAGTATCACATATAGATCAACAGTTATTACCCAGAAGATAGGATGTATTTGCCTCAGTAGTCATCCTAAGCAGTTCTCCAAGTCCACCTGCAAATGGAGGCAGAGGAACATGGCAAGAACTATTTCAAGATTAAACAAACCTCTTATTTTAAGTGAAAGGACCACCCATAACAACTATTTGCAAGTCATGGATCAGACGGGAGAGAAGATTCCTGAGAGGCTGGCATTTGCACAACACAGTATTTGTGGAGCTAGAGATGGAGAACACCACAAGAACTTCCAAAAGTACTTAAGAAGCTCAGGCATGTGGTCCTGCTGACCCAATATTGCTCTCAGACACAGCACTAGCCATGTGTGCCTTCCTAAGTAGCACAGTACCAGCTAATACAACTCGGCTTAGCAGTCACTTGTGGTCCATTAAACTTAAATCACATCACATTGAAGCTCAGATCCAGGCTCAAGGTGTGTAGATGGTTACTGAGTCCTCCAGGTTCAGCTGACACATCACCAGTCCTTATACTCAGGAGGTCAGTCATCTGTCTGACTCTAAAAGGCTGTCTGTGTGAATAGGAAAAAAAAAAAGAAGGAAACGTTTCAAAACTTTTACAGAATGTCTGGGAAAAACAATTTATATAAATCACCAGGAATAATGGGGAAAAAAAAATACCTGAAAATGGCTTTAAGATCCTTTTGCTGCAAATACCACAAATGCATTGCTTCCTGGAGCTGGTGAGTCACTGCCTCACACAGCAACCCCTGGCTGACCTGGCAGACACCAGTTAGAGACAGCACTGAACCACACACCCCCTGCACCGAGGCTGGGGAGGGAGCTGAGAAACTTGTCCCATCAGAACTGGTCCTCCCCAGAGTGCCTCGATGCCTAAAACCCTCACTTGTGGTGCTTCTCCATACGGAGTGGGTGGCGTGATCTCACACTCGATGGAAGATCAGCCTTTGCTTCTGGATCTCCTACCTCTGAAGAAAAAAAGAATGTTCAGATGGAGAGAGAAGCTCCGCGTGTAGTTTGGGGTGTCAGACAGCTCTGCTGCTGTCTGTCTGAGCAATGATTGACTCCAGTTACAGATCATTTACCTGCTCGTTTCAAAGCGAGGAGCATCAGTAATGCAGATTGCTTGTCATGGCTGTGACTGTAGGTGACAGGTAAGGACAAGGAGGTGAAATCACAATCTCTACACGCTTATATAGCACAGGCCAAGCCCCAGCACACTGCAAATGGTGTCACCTAAACCATAGAATCATAGAATCATAGAATCATAGAATTGCCCAGGCCGGAAGGGACCTCCAAAGGCCATCTAGTCCGACCCCCCCGCAGTCAGCAGGGACACCCCCAACTAGACCAGGTTGCCCAGGGCCTCGTCGAGCCTCTCCTTGAATATCTCCAGGGAAGGGGCCTCAACCACCTCCCTGGGCAACCTGTCCCAGTGCTCCACCACCCTCACAGTGAAGAACCCTCTCCTCATCTCCAGTCTAAATCTGTTCCCCTCCAGCTTAAAGCCATTGCCCCTCGTCCTGTCACTGCAGGCCTTTCTAAACAGGTTCTCCCCAGCCTTCCTGTAGCCCCCCTTCAGGTACTGGAAGGCTGCTGTTAGGTCTCCCCGGAGCCTCCTCTTCTCCAGGCTGAACAACCCCAGCTCCCTCAGCCTGTCCTCGGAGCAGAGGTGCTCCATCCCCCTGATCATCCTTGTGGCCCTCCTCTGGACCCTCTCCATCAGGTCCATGTCCTTCTTATATTGAGGGCTCCAGACCTGCACACAATACTCCAGGTGAGGTCTCACCAGAGCAGAGTAAAGTGGCAGAATCCCCTCTCTGGACCTGCTGGCAACGCATCTTTTGATGCAGCCCAGGATGGGATTGGCCTTCTGGGCTGCAGCTGCACACTGCCTGCTCATGTCCAGCTTCTCATCCACCAGCACCCCCAAGTCCCTTTCCTCAGGGCTGCAGCCAGAGAGAACCCAGCAGAGCTAAGCTCTTTCCCATTGCAGAAAAGGACACGGGTGTACACGGGAGAAAGAAAAAACAACCCAAGAGCTAGTGTCCAAGTTAGTTTGATGAGAAGCAGCCAAGCCTACACTGAAGTAGGTAATGTGTGTCATCAGATGGGCTATTCCCCAAAGCCAAGGTCATACGAATACCCCAGAACTATTCCAAAGCTATTAGGGAAGAACTGTGTCATGTAACCAGGGACAAGAACACAACTAGAAGAAGTGATTAATCAGTGTCAAGACAGTCACTATCTGTGGCAGCTACTCCATATGGACTATGTCGGGTCAGTCAGGAGCCCTACATTTTCCTGAAGTCAATGTTTAACCTAAATGGTTGGAAGGATTTCGTGCAGATGGTGGAGGCACCCAGGCTCGCTTGCCAAGCACTCGTGGACGGGCAGTGAGTGATGGTGGAGCTCCCTACGCCCCAGGAGAGGGGCAGGCTGGCACCAAACAGCCCAGCAGCAACCTGCCCTCCTGCCATGGTTGCCCCTCTGCTGGCCACAGAACTGGGGACTCATTGTCACCACCTGGGTGTGGAAGGTGCTGTGCTGAGAAGGAGCAATAATTGCCTTTCCGCAGCCCTGAAACGGGCAGATTTACCACCTCAGACCGATGCTGCCTTTTGCTACCGAAGCAACAATAGGACTCATTTTCTTTTTCTTTCCCCCTCCATTACATCCTTATTATGGTATCTCGTAGCCTAATTTACATATGTTTTGTATTACTGTGGCTTTGCCTTATCCTACTTATTCTACCTCCTTTCCCCTAGTTCTTCCGATAATAACGAGGCTGCTGGAGGGCAGGGATTTATTCAGACTATAGAACATGAAAGGTGTGTAGGGCACGGAGAACTGCTGATCCTAGACTTCTCAAACTGGACACAAGAAAGGTTGATTTGGGGATTCAGTGCCACCACCAAAACATGGTTAAAGACTAAGCCTTTACCATAGAGTTTGGGTTGGAAGGGACCTTAAAGATCATCCACTTCCACCCCCCTGCCCTGGGCAGGGCCACCTCCCACCAGACCAGGTTGCTCAAAGCCCCATCCAGCCTGGCCGTGAACCCCTCCAGGGATGGGGCAGCCACAGCTTCTCTGGGCAACCTGGGCCAGGCTCTCACCACCCTCACAGCAAAGAATTTCTCCCTAATATGTCATTGAAATCTCCCCTCTTTCAATTTAAAACCATTCCCCTCTCATCCCATCACTCTACTCCCTGATCAAGAGTCCCTCCCCATCTCTCCTGGTGATCCCACCTCTCCTGGACTCCCTTTAGGGACTGGAAGGGGCTCTAAGGTCTCTCCAGAGCCTTTTTTTCTCCAAGCTGAACACCTCCAACTCTCTCACCCCATTGCTCCGATGCTCTGGGAAAGTTTGAAACAAGAGGCAGCTCTAATGAGCCGTGGTTACCTGGAGAGTTCACAGACCCTTGTTTTGAGAAGAAAACAGCCAGCTCTTAACCATAAGAGCAAACCATAAGAGCAAAAAGCTGTGTAGCAGAGCTGCTTGCTGCACGCGAGCCCTGCCACAGGCGGTGACCAACTAAGAACCTCCTGTGTATGGTTTTACTACCACAGCTTGACACTACATGACAGGAAAATGTTGCAACGACTGCGGCAGAAAGTGCAGACACAGCTCCTGGAAGCTGTGGCAAAAGGTCTTGTGCACGTGTTACCCAGAGAAAAAATGTAAACCGTCTCCTGGGGTTAGTTCATAGCGTGCTTTACACATCAGCTTTTAGACATTAAGATTTTTATGCCATTTTACTCTACCAGGAGAAGAACGTAGAATGTTAATTGTCCACATAGCTGAGAGCTCCCTTCCATTACTTACAAAGCAATAAATTCCAAAAGAGTGCTCAAGCCAGATCCAAATGTGTATTTGCATGTGTTTGGAACACCGTATTTTTGGAATCTGCAGAACCCGTGTGGCTATTAAGTGTTATTTAGAGTGTAAAGACTTATTTGTGGACAGAGCAAAACCCAAATCCAGTGTTTAGCTGATAAAGAGGAAATTTTTAAAACAGTCTTTTTCTCCCAAGCTCAGTTCAGGTCTGTCTGCATGTCCAAGATTAGGTCATCCTCCCTCAGCCTTCAAGTGACCTTGCTCAAACTGAGCTGAACCAGGGGCTCCAGTTCTTCCACCCAGGGCAAGGCAGCTTTAGGGGAGCTTTGTCACCACTTCTTTGGCCATGAATTGTATGCACCAACCAGGACAAAACCATTTCGGCTCTAAGGGAGGAGGAACCAGGGTGGTCAGAAGGAAACAACAGTGGGAACAACACCGAAGGGCAGATAGTGAGAGACAGGGTGTTACGGAAAGCTTTCAGGAGGTACTAGAAGAGAAGTTACCCAGAAAAAGAAGTGACACAAATAGCACAGGAAGTGCCCCGAAAGCCTGATCGCAGTGAGGGGGAAGGAGGAAGGAAATGGGAGAGAAAGCAGAAGTTTCATCTGCCCTAGAAATAGTCAGCAGTTATATGGGTACCGTACTAATGCTCCCACACCCCAAATGCTGCTGCTTTAAACATGTGGGAACCTGGTGTAAGTTAAGCCAATTCCTCTCTTAGAGTTGGCCCTCAAACAGCTATTCAGGAGGAGTATTCTTCCCAATGAGCACCTGGCTGAAGAGGCCACAGCAAGGTGGTTGGACCACAGCCACCAGCTTGTAGGTTCCTTCTGCTGGTAGAGGCAGCATTTTGGTGAGGGGGCATCTGAAGCGAGGCCGTGATGATAACAGGCCAGGTAGGAAGTAGCAATGAGGGAAGTATAGAAGGGGAAATATGACATAGCTGCATCCTGAAAGAAAGTGGTAGAGGATGAGAAGGTGTGGTCCCAGAGGTGGAATGCAGACATGAGCCAGGCACAGATAAATAGGGGTTTAAGGGGGCTTCTTAAACGTGGAAGATGTTCAGCACACAATGTAGGCTTGGCAGGGTGGCTCCATGCTTAGAACAAGCTGGAAAAGACATGGAAACCTCTGGACAGCATGCCAAGAAAAAAAAAATAAATAGAAGGGATTACATGGTGTCATAAATCCATGAGAAGATCTCAGAGGAGATGCTCAGGTAATTCTCACCTGTCCTGACCAGAAATTCCCCTCCCACAAGACAGTGCCAACTCCTTGAAATCAGAAGTGCATTTATTCTCAAACAGAACAATAAAAGAAACAACTTTTCTTGTTTCCTGCAGACATTCATGTTTCCCAACAATTAGCAAGACGCAGTTGTCCCAAACCTGGCACTTTTCCAAAGTGGTGAGCATGAGTCTCTCTCGCTCAATCTGCTTAGGAAGGAGTCTGAAATCCCATGGCAGGTATCACTCCCTCACCCGCTCCCTCCCTCAGGGGCTGAGGACCAGTTTAGCATTTCAGTTTGGTGCTTTTCACAAATAACTGCTGAGCACAGGATGGTTGTTTACAAAACAGGAGGCAGAAGGGTTGTGCAACACTCCACCCTCCACCACAGCAGTCAACAGCAGAAACCAGAGGCCCAAAAGAGGAAAGGGCAAGTGCTCTGAATCTCAGGGATCCATCTCCCACCTCACACATGACAGGACATACTGCGACCTGCTCAAAACAATATCTGGAAGAAGGGCAGAGCCCAGCTGGGATCATCAGTGGTGTCTGGAGGGGAGAGCAAGCAGCAGAGTCTTCTTCTCTCAGCTGTTCTGGGCCTGGAAGGAAGGGCTGGCTATGTCAGCAATCACCCCCGATTCAATCATTTTCAGCAGCCAGTTCCTCTCAGCAGTGATATTGTGCTGAAAGAGCTGCAGGGAAAAGAGAGGCAAAGTTATAGATTATTCCTCACAGTGCCCCTCATCCTGCCCAAAATCCCACTCCATCCCCTTGCAGGACTTCACTGCACAGGACTCTGATCACCAAACTAGGGCAGATGAAAAGCACCCTGAAGGTGCCAGCATCTGTGCCCGAGCTACTCTCTGAGAACAAAGCATGTCCCATCATGTTTCCCAGGTATATCCCAGCAGGAATTTCCATGGGTAACACCAGCAATAGTTAACAGACCTCTCAGCAGCTTGACTCCCAGATTTGCCCAGTAGGTTCCCCGTGTGGAGAACACCTTAGTTTGAAGGGGAAGCATTTCCTACCTCTTTTTTGCGTGAGCGACCCGTATTGTAATAATGGATTGGTGTAGTATTGTCGTGGTTTCCAGGGTAACCAAAGCCTGCAATATTGACCTCTTGGCACATATGGAGGGCTAAGTTCAAAGCGATGATTCCCGTGGTGGCATATCTCTGGGAAGGGAAAAGAGAGAACATCTGTTTAGGATTTCAGACTCATACTTTTACAATACTGACACCAGCAACACCTCTGCAGCTGGGACTGGTAGCTTCTTCCACACTCAATATAGCAAAATTATCTTAATAAAATGGGGCAGGTGCATGGACAGCATTCCCAAAACTCAAACAAGGAGCATCTTAGAAAAAGGTGCTGCAGAAGATGAGGGCTCATGAGCATACAGCCTCTGGGTTGATAAAACGTAGTGTTCCCTAGAAATCAAAAAGCTTTGAATGGAAGAAATCAGCACACTTTTTAACAAATCCACATCCATGACGGAGCCAGTACAAAGTCTCTACATCTCTGTCTTTTCCATGTGCCTCTTTGTGTGAGGCACCTGTCCCTGCTGGCAGACATGTGTGATACCTCATTTCTAATCCACATATTAAATTCCTGTCCCTGGAACTGTGTGCTGTAAAACTGCCTTCTGCTCACACAAAGCTAACACGGCCAAGTACAAAAATCAAACACTGCCTTAAAAGCCTGGTGACTGAGCAGCAGAGCCACCACGCTCGTCAGCAGCTCAACATGCTCTCTGGTCCCCCCCAAGCCTAACCAAGCACTTCGCACTCCTCGCCTGGATTTGCACTTTCCAAACATTATAGCAGGGAAATGTATTCTTTTCCAGCATTGCTTCAGCAGCCTGGAAATTTGGCATCTAATCCCAACCCCAGCCAAGAATGAGTGCATGACCTTGGACAAGGTTATTTTACCACACCAGGCCGCCTTCTGCGCTTGTTGCAGATTATAAACATATCCTAGTAGTGCCTGGCAGGCTTAAATTTAATTAAAGATTGCACAGCACCATCATAAAGATCATCAGGACCGAAGACAAAGTATCATTAGATTCATTAATGAAATAATCCTCCATCGTGCAACGAAGGGGAAAACTGCACTCCAGAAGCACTGGGCATAACAGCCAGCCTCAGGCCAAAGATCTGTGAGAACAGTGTTTTAAGGAATGTCAACCAAAATTCCTCCCATTTTATACTAGTTAATTATCAGTAATGGTCTTCAGACAGGGAGAGCACAGGAACGTGTATGAAAGGGTTTATAAGGCAGAGCTGCTTGTCACTAGAGAACCAGGTTTTCTGAGGTCTAGAACTATGGATGGAAATACAAGTCTAAACTGGGATTAGAAGGTAAATGGCAAGGGGTAATGGGCAGACTGGAATGAGAATTACACTGCAGTGCTGTGACAGGTGGGGAAAAGTCTGCCTTTCCTGGGTTGGAGCAGGGCTCCAAACCTGAAGCACCGTGCTATAGGAAAAGACAGCATTAACTAGGGGAAGGGACTGGCTAATCTAATGAAAAGGTTTTCCTTCCCCTCGCATGGCACCGAAGCAGTAAGGCGTAAGGGAAGACACAGAACAGTGATGCCCATCTGTCCCCTCCCCAGTGTGGTACCATACCCCACTTGAGGCATTCAGCTGCAGCAGCTTGTAGGTCGCCTCATAGGTGAGGTATGGGTTGAGAATCCGTAGCTGGGAGACGTTCCCGTTCCACTCCCGGGGGGGCTGGCGCCAAAACCCCACCTTTGTCTGCAGGAGAAAGGCAGAGAGACACTTAAGGCACGGCCACGAGCAGCAGACTGGGCCATGATAAAGACCCCCAAGTTAGCGACGGTCCACTGCTCCGCTGGGTGCTCAGAGGGACTCGGGAGAGCTCAGAGGAATAAAGGATCTCTGATCTTGTCCATCCATTCCCATACACCTGTCTCCAACGTGGCTGAGACCAGAGTCTTTCTAATTAGTGAAAAATAAGGTCTCAGGTGCATTATGCAGCTCATTAAATATCTGAAAGATACATGATTATTAGAGCTATTGAGTATGTCACTACACATAACCTGGTTTCAACCTTCCCTCATGAAAGACGTCTCACCTTATTCCTTGTTTTCAGCAACACTTCCCTTAGCCAGAGGAAATCCAGGGGCTTGAACGGGACAAACACCATCAGTGTATCATTGTCATTGTTTTCCAGAGGGTTGGGCAGAGCTGATTCAGGGAAGAAGAGACGGATGCTGGTTCTCTCGCCCACGTCTTTCTTGTGCTCTTTTACCGGAGCATCATTTAATCTGAGAATCAAAGCCAGAATTTGTCCAGTTTCAGTATCACCCGTTCCCAGTCACGGAGGCAGCTGTGTGCTCTCAGGTACACGACCGGCCACATGAACTCACTTGAGGCCACCAACACACATTATGGCCCAACCCAGCAGTCTGGTTCCACGGTGTGGGACACCTCACACAGACACCGCAGTAGTTCCTCCCTTGGCACAACAAAGGTGACAGACAACCAGTATTTTTCAGATAGGGAAGCATGGCACAGAGAAATTAAATCACTTTCTCAAATCAGAGTTAAGATAGATGTAGTCCTGTAACACAGGGATTGCTTGCCACTCCACAAAGCTGGAGATGGCTGTCCAGCTCCCAGGTACAACATTTGTCAACAAGGGGTACAAATTCTGGCTCCTGCCTTTCCTGTGCTTGGCTGTGAACTGCAAGAAAGTTATCTGATTACTGAGCTGATGGATCTTAGATGTTATGTTTGCCAGGCAAGAGAGTCACTTGCACATTATACTCTTCAGTCTCTGCTTAATTGTTAATGCTTCAATAAGGATTCAGTACCTTATGATAACGTGGTGAGAGTCAATCATTTTCCCAAAGTGTTGGCCGTGGATGGAGTAGCCGTTGCCGACCACAATGCACCTTTGGCACCATAAACTGGCAAAAGAATAGATTACAAGAGATTAAGTCCTTCTCTGACAAGTGTCTCCACCAGGTTAGATCACCATCCCCTGAGAGCCTTTTTGATGTTCCCAGATAACTCCTGGGGTGGCATCAGAGGAGCAAAGCCCTGACTAGTAGGACTCCAGGTGTATCCTAGACAGATGGGTCTTCTCTAGTGACCAGGAGGAAACACAGTGCCATCAACATACCAGTAAAATTGTGAGGGATCTCTAGTTAGACAGAGGACACAAGATGCTAAAGAAATGGAGAGAAAGTCAAGTGTGGACACCCAGCAGACCAGTAACTGGGAGTATATTGTAGAGAGAAAGAATCAAAGGCCACAGAAAAATCCCTCTAATGAATTAGAAGAAAGAAGGGCCCCACTGAGAGCATCTGCCAACAGCTGCCACAGTCTACTTTGCTTTCTGCTCTCCCTGAACGTGGGCAGGCAGAACCGAGGGAGGCACCCAACTTTCCAAGCCCTGGACCATCACACTTGGGATGGAGTTATAGCAAGAGAAAATAAATGGGACAGGGTGATACTGAGAACAGAGACCAGGGTATGAGAGAAGTTAAAGGCAGGGAGCTGGATCTAGCAGCTTAAGTTCATCAGTACCAGAGCTGGTTGAAAGAGCATATTTAAAAGGGAGAGAGAAACCTACTGAGAGAGGAGATGAACAGTGACAGGAGTGAGAGGCAGAGAGGGCTGTGAAGTTGAGCACTAAGAGAGAAAACTTCAAGTAGCTGCAGGATCCGAGGCTCTCAACCCAACTGTCACTTCTCTCACATGTTTGCTCCCCCCAACACCCATCTCCAGTGTTCATACCGGCCAAAGGATCCCGGCAACTCCTGCTGTGGAAGAAGCTGCAACGTGGCAAAAGCAGAGAGAACTGGAAGACAAGAAGTTGAAGAGTCATCTTCAGGGAAGATACGTGACTCCACCACTGCCAGTGGGCCAACTTTCCCTTTTCTTCTCTCTCTAAAGTGCCAGAACACTTTAAATGGGAGGGCCTGCTCAAACACTCTTGTCACATCCATCTGCCCAACCCTGTCCAAACTGAGGCATTTTTCCACATAAAGGGCATGCACTTTATGACCAGCACTACCAGCAACCGAAGCTGGTCTGTCATACCTCACACTGAAAAAGGCAAAAGGCACTGACCCATTCAGCATCTTCTCCCTGTTGGCATTTGGAAACTTCCATAATGGCTCCTGCTCCATCCACAGGAGCATTGCTGTCAGCCTTCCCCTTCCCGTCCCTCCTGGCAGAGCCAGAGTCTGAAGTTAAAGCACTGCCCCCCTCCTCCATGACCACCACCATGGACATCTTCTCAAAACCATGCCATCCAGTCAGTCCAGATTTCCCCTGATGCACCCTGGTGCCCAACTGTATTTCCATCTCTTCTGCAGCACTCAAGGCTGCCCCATAAAGGGGCCGCTCTCCAGTTGCACAGTGTCTGTGCAAGATGTGACAATGCTCAGGGCAGAACATTGCAATACCTGAGCTCTGCAGCCCAAAAGGCAGTTTATGGAACCACAGAACTTCTTCAAGCTCTCCTTGAAAAGGTCTGTCCATGAGTGAGCATAAGGATTTGCTGGTCAGGAAAGGCTTCCAGTGAGAGTCAAACCTACCGAGAGAGATTCAGAGAGGCAGCAATTTAGGGATGAGTGGAGCAGCCCCAGCACTATCAGACACAAGGACTAGGGCAGCTGAAGCAGGCTGCATAATGAAGAGCTTTGGAAAGCGACTGAGCTATCCTGAAGTACTTCACAGAAATGACCCACATCTTTCAAATACAGTCCTTATTGCTGCTCCTAATCCACCTTCTGAGCAGCAGTGACAGCAAAATCTCATTTCCCTCCAGTTCTGGCCCCCCAGTTCCTCTCCCTTTTCAGTCATTCCTCTTTCTGTACACGTTCGGGGAACGCTTATTCATCCTTTCATTGTTTATCCACAAAAGGAGAGAGGGGCAGAATTCCAGTTATGTTTCCAATTTGATTTATTCATTCACTTCATGCGAAAGCTCATGACACCCATGACAAAGCCTCGCTGCACACTAATCAATTCAACAGCGCATCTTTTCCTCTCTGATTGTCCTTCAGAGGACATTTTACACACACATGTGTATTGCATCGTTCTGCTGGCCTGTTGACTCACTTGTAGTGATGTCAAGATGTCATTGGGCAATAGTCAGCTGAAATTATCTCTATTTCCCTTCCTGTGTCTCTGCATGTAAACCCCAGGCTGCCAGTTTCTACCCATCAGCAGCCACTGATTCATGTCTCAACAATATTCCCCAAACAAATGAGACACAGCTAACAAACCTTCCAAGAAAAGGCTTCCTCCACACAAAGCGTCTACGGCAAGCCCCCAGATGCTTCCTGTGAAAGAAACAAGGTTAAATTTTCTACTAGACACAGTGGCCCTCAAGAATGTGGCCTGAGAATCAGTGATAGTTCTGAAGGTCTCTTAAAGAGGTCTATAAATGCAGGGTTTTGAGCTCTTGACCATGTCATCCTGTCTCCCAGCTCCTGACCACTTCTGTCCCATGAACAGCATGCCCCACTCCAAAAGCACGTAAAGGGCTCCTTTACACAAAGGAATTTAGGTGGAAACATGTCCCTGGAGAGCTAATGCTGAAGTTAGGTCATGCTATTCAGGACCTTGAGCAGCTCGAGTTGAAGAAAATCATTCTCCTCTGGTAAGGCTCATTAGTTCCTCCAGATAGAGCCAGGCAATGAACAGCACTGTGGGATGTCCACAAGGCTCTCTGGAAGTGACCAGCAGCAGCAGGGAATCTCCACTGCAGTCTAGCTGAGGCATCTCCAGGCTCACCGACTGCTTCATCCTGCTACTGTTCTGTCTGCCCTGCTCTCCAGTCCCTGCCAGGCAGAACACAGTCCTCCAAGTCCCCAGGGATTCACTTTATTGAGTGAGCTGTTTCTCACCCAGGTTTTATCCTGGGAGGGGGGCTGCCCTTTTTTTTTCCACAGTAATGAATTGTCCCCCACTTCTAACCCAGACCACAGCGGCACTGTGGCACTCAGAAATTAGTAAGTATTAGCCCAAAATATTTCTTGGGAAATGTGCCAAGGGGCACTGTGGTCAGAAAAGGGAAGAGGTAACTTACTCAGTGTGACTTTCATGTGAGTTCATCACGGAGAAGTACAGGCTCTGCACGCACAGACCTGCAGAAGGCAACGGAGAGGCTGGCACAGGCGGAGCAGCCCCACAGCCCCACACTACACCTGGGGCCACCCCACTGTGCAGCCCACAGGACCTATCCCCCCGACAGCATCTCCCCAGCCCCTGCAGCCATCAAACCTGCAAGTGAGCAGACCCTGTTTCAGAGTCTGGAGCCTCCAAGTGGCTGTATTTGGGTTAGCCCCTTGCTAGACAAAATTAAACGGGGCCTTCTGGTGATAAACCCTAGTAAATGCAGCATCCTATTTCCCAGCAGCTACGGACATTCACTTGGAAAGCTCAAATCTCACAATTGCTCACATCAATCTGTAAAATGACACATGATGACAGTGCAGAGTGGGGAAGGGGCTGGCTATGGCAGTCCCTGAGCTGGACAAGCCCTCAGCCCCTCAGCACGCTCCCTGTGGGGCTGTCCTGGACCAAAAGGCTGGCTCCCCTTCCCCTCCTGGCTGTGCCCACTGCTGGGGTGAGTTCTGGAGTCCCACATTAATAGGATGGGCTCCCTTGCTCCTTTCTCTCCATAGCTGTCAGCGGGCTGCTCCTCAGGATGTCACAGGGGACAGGGGACTGCGAGAGCCTTCAAACATCCCCTGTTGCACAAAGTGATCCATTATCCCACTGACAGGTAGTAGGATGCAGCTGCAACCCACACCATGGTGCTTGGGTACAAGCCCAGAGGACAGAAGCCTTTGCTGAGGACAGCAAAGGCTCACAGCAATAAGAAGAAATGTCCATGGAGGAGAAATCCTCTAGTCCTGACCTGCTTCCTAGACTGAAACCAAGAGATTCATGCCAGATAAAAGATAAGCCAAAAGCAGTTCCGTAACACGGACAATAGCTTGTCTGAGTGGCTTGATCAAGGTGCTGTGCTGAGTAGAGCACGAGCTCTGCTCACCCTCAGTGCCCTTCTCCACATAGGTGAGTTTGGGACTGCGGATGCAGAAAGGAAAAAGTCCTCTGTCATTTAAACCCACCTAAATAAAATGACACTGGTCACATCTTGGTCACTGAGCAGCTATGGCTTTTCCTGTGACAACCAGCCAGCCTTTAAACGATGGTATGAAGTGAGAATCTGGTTTCTTTTACTCTTGGAGGGAGATCACAAGGAGTTACATGTGCTTATACAAGCACTACGGATCTCTCCTGGATCTCCTACGCACACTTCACAGAGGCTTTCATCAGCTGATTACTTCTGGGCTGCTACACACATACACACAACACAGGTAAACACCCACCTCTGGACCCTAATCCTGCAGAGACTGCAGCAGCATTTATCAGAGGTGACTGCTAGACCTTCCCCCCACCCAGAGGAATCTAGTTTGTGTATCACAGAAGCACATTAACCCCGCTGCAGCCTCCCTCAGCCCTGGGCACACATATCACACCAGACGCAGGCCTTGCATGGGTGTTTGCAAATATTAAGCCTTTGGAAAGAAGTTATTCCTCCTTCGCCCTTGCTGCAGAGGCAGCATATTGGGTAGGCATAGGGGAGAATTCATTTTGTAACTGGAGAGCTGCATTTGCAGGACAGGAACACAACTGCTGGGGTAATACACAAAGTGGGGACACCGTGACTGGGGACTGTGCTCCTGTTGGTGATGACCATGTGTTGGGAGCATATTTAAGTCCCCTCAACCTCAGTCACCAGAGACACCTAGGACTGCATATGTCTTTTGTAACTGGAGAGCTGCATTTGCAGGACAGGAACACAACTGCTGGGGTAATACACAAAGTGGGGACACCGTGACTGGGGACTGTGCTCCTGTTGGTGATGACCATGTGTTGGGAGCATATTTAAGTCCCCTCAACCTCAGTCACCAGAGACACCTAGGACTGCATATGTGTGATTTATATAAACATATCTCCTCCCTCCCTTCTTCTGTCATATCCCATTTTTGGGGTCTCTCCAGTGACCCATCAGTGGCCAGGAGGGTCCTCTCCTGCTGTAGAGCCTCAGCCCTGCAAGGCCCTAAGGGGTCAGGGGGACCACAGCAGCAAGTGCTGGCTGGGAGACAGCAGGGCTCAGCATGCACTGAGGTTTTCTTACCCACACAGAGCCACATCACCAGATTTTTCCACTGGAAGAAGGCAAAGAAGAGTCTCCCCGCTATGGATCTGGCGTTCATGCTGTCTCCATGCACAACCTGCAGAACAGCAGAGATGACACAAGTCAAAACCAGGGCTGACAAGCTTTCACCTGGCACTTCTGCAGAGACAGACAGGCTGGGTGACCATCCTGCAAACCTAGACTTCCCCATGCCATGCCTCTGTCCCTACCACGTTGGTCCCCCCACACTCTGTCTGCTGACCCACAAGACCCTCATGGACAGAGAAGAGGGGCTATGTTGGGTCAAGCCCTTCTCTCACTGCCTTGCTGGGTGCTGGAGGCAGTAGACAAGCACTCAAACTCTCTGTCACCATAGGCAAGTCCTGCCCATGCCCTGAGCCCCAGAAGCAGGCTCTGAATCAGAAACAGGATGGGTGCAGCTCATCCCACCACCTGCAGAGGACCCATGGTCACAGCTGGGCATATCCAGCAAGCACTGGAGGCACCTAACTGCTTTCCTGGGGAGGTCTCCTTCTCACAGCCCCACTATTTGTTCCTCCAACAAGGGAAAAGAGCACACGCAAAGTGCTGCTTTGACTGTCAAGCAATAAAGTCCTGTGATCAATCCTCGTAAGCCGTGGAGTTTGTAGTGTTTAGGTGTCTGAGTTTGACTGACAGCCTTAATTATATAGGGACAGCATCACAGCTCAGAGAGACGATTGCTGGTTCAGGCTGGTGAAAAACAGGAATAATATTCTCCTCTCTTACAGGGATGGTGCAGAAAGTGAGAGCTCAGCTTACCCATCTGATGGCGATCATCTAATTATCCTCAATGAGCTAGACACAAATCCCAGCTCAGCAGGGGAAGTGCTCTGTGATGCTCTCAATCCACCCTCTTCCCCCTATACCCTGGCCTGGAAAAAGACCTTAACAAGGCTGATTAGTCTATCTAAGCTGATCCTTCTGCTCATTGCCACCCATCTGGAGCACCCCTGCCCTCTGAAACCCAGGGCTGGCAGCTGCTGGTCCCTCAAGCCATACCAAGGAGCTCCAGTGACCCTCCAGCTGTGGGCAGCACCTGTAGTGAGGGCTGGCCTTAAATGGGAAGCCCTGGGAGGCAGGGGTGCTTTGGGAGGGTAGGGTGTTTTTTCTGGGTGGATGGATCTCCTTTAGGGGAAATGTACTGGGAGTATTTTCCAGAAAGATCTTAAGTCAGGGTGTAGGAAGAGCTAGTTCACCTCTTCTGGTTTCAGACTTACTGTGGGCATGGGAGTGGGCTGAGTGGGTGCCCTTCAGAAGCTGCTTCCCTTGCTTAAAAATACAAAGAAAGAATTCTCTTACCACTTAACCAGGGCAGGAAAGCCTTTCAGACTCACACTGTGCTTTTGCTTATAAATAGGATCTCCCTTTCTCCTGCTCTCCAAAGCAATGCTTTCCATCTCTAACTAGAGTTAGGGAGAAAACCTTCAGGTCTGAGCAGCAATTTTGTACTTGCAACTTCCCATCCCTCTCATCTGTCCCTGGAGTTAATGCTGCCCTGGCATATGTAGGAGTTTCTTGCAGTTTCCTGCTGCTGTGCTTTCCCTGGGGGCGAGCTAAAGCCCAGGGAGGGAGAGCAGGTACAAGGAGACCTGTAATCAAATACAGCAACCACAGGGGATTAATTTTTTTGCTCTTAAATGAAGGAGAGGGGCATGGCCAAGCAAGGTAGAAGATCCTATTTCCTTCTTACTCTCAAGACATGAATATCTGCAACCAAGCCCTTCCATCTGTCCTGCACACAGACAGGAGCAGGAGGTGGAGGACAAGCAGTTTGAGGGGAAAAAAAAAAAGATCTCTTGTTGTTTGACAGAAATATATCTCGATTTTTTCATCCAGTTTCATCCCACCCAGGGCTTTCACTAGCGCCTCCCCCCTTGCATTGGGCAAAACAGTCTCAAAAGCCTGTGTGCATATATGTACTCACTCATGCAAAATGCATCCTGGCCACCAAAGGGCTTCATTTGCCCATTTCTACCTCTCTCAAGTATTTTAGGATTCTTTTCACAGAGGCTTTTTCTTTTTCTGTGTGATTTTTTCCCCCCCTCTCTTCCATTTTAATTAAAGTATTTGTCTCCACAGCAGGAAATGTAAACTATGCAGCAGGCAATCTTGATATATATTTTAAAAGAGGAAAAATTATTTAGCAAAGCTATTATCTTCAGATATGCACAGAAGCAATCACTAGGCCTATTCCTAGAAGCCAGAAAAATCAAAGAAAAAAAAAATGGAAAAGAAGGATGCTGCTCCTTTAAAAACTAGAAAAAAAAGTGATGAACAAGTTTTTAATTCTGTGCCTAGAGATGCAGGGTTAGATTTTTGGCAAACAAAAAGTCATTCCTCTTAGCAAAATGCAGGAGCTTTTCCCTAAGAAGCGGCAAGAGCTGAGGAGTAGCTGAATTCTTTGAAACTCTGCTGCTCTGTGTTATCACTGAAGAAGGGCTGGCTGCTAAGCATTACTGAAAACCTCGTTTTGTCTAAGTTTAATTGGGAGCTGAGCACTGCTGGAGATGTGGTCTGGGTTGTGTGTGCTGACTAGACCCTGGGTTTGGAAATCAGCCCTCGGTGCCTGTGCTGGATGCTGTTCTTGGCTGCCCAGGCGATCCGAAGGGGAAGGAGCCAATTTACTGCCTCTGTGCCTCAGTTTCCCCACTTGCAAAATGGAAATTCTCACAGTTCAGGCTACAAACCTGAAATCATTGGCACAGAGCAGCTACGATGAGTCACTGCAGCAGGCCAAGAATAACACAAAAATACCTAAAGAGATGAGGCACTCTCCATTCTTCAGAGAGCAATTGATTAGTTGAGCTATACTGTGATTTTTGTCCATCAGAGGCTGCAAACTTGAAAAAAAAATGGCCTAGAAAATAAGAGTGCATTCTTGCTGATTCTCTTTCCCTCTTCCCACACCATTCCCGGCCTCTGCCTCGCCTGCTTCAGAGAAAAAAAAAATAAATTAAAAATCAGCCTCTCTAAATATTGTTTCTCTCACATCAGCCCAGCAGGAGAGGCAGAAATCAAATTATAAGCACTGAAATAACCATCAGCGCTTAGTGCCAGGAGGGTGGGTGTAGACACTGGAACATTTTGCTTTCCAAAAAAAAAAAAATAAATCTATCTTTATTAAAATAAACAAGTGCAAAAGAAGAAAGAGAAGGAAAATCAATCAGTTGCATTTACAACAGGGAGATATCAAGCAAAGAGTGCTCCATCCACAGAGATCAACGAGAGCTGCAGGAACCAGACCCTCTCTGTCCTTCTCTCTCTTGGAAGAGGTTTATTTTCCCTCCTTATTCTGTGCTTTCTCTCCTGGATATATGTCTTGTTGCTTATGGAAAGTCCTAGAGAAAACTTTTTCCTACAGGGACAACAGGAGGCAGAAAAGCTGAGCAATATCTACCTTGTGTCCACCAGATAATTCCAGGCAGCCTCTGTGAGGGGGATCACACTAGTTTTGATACCTATAGGATCTGGCGATAATTTGGGCAGAACTCACTGGGTTTACATCTCTTCAATTCTTTGTAGATAAGAACTGATACATACCAGGATTGTCACATCCAGATATATTTACAGAGTTTCTCTCCTGCAGGGATTATTTCAGGAAAAAGCATGCGCTATATAGAAATGCTGTTGCAGCCTTTCTGTTCGTCTCTACAGCTCTCCCTGGTTTTTGGCCAGAGGATCAGTGAGTTCAGGAACCAGCAAACTAATGAATTTACTCACTCTTTTCCAAAACCCATCTGCCAGCCAGCAGGATATTATCACGCAAGACCTGCACCCGGGCTTGATTTTGACCACTGCGTATCTGAAGACCATCTCTGCCTGGATGAGGTGAAGCCAGACAACGTGGCAGCAGCAGGGTTTGGGCAAGGGGCAAGCTTCTCTTGGTGCACTCAGGCACGTTGGTCCAGAGGTGCTACAACCCAAATTAGCCCTAGACCTGCCTTGCTGCCTGCCCAGTCTCTTTGGGAATGGTTGTTTGGACCTACGCAGAGAGGGGGAATGGTCTCGGGCATGCCAAGACCAGGGACACCCCCACAGCTGTGAGGAACCACTGCAAAAAGAATCCACCGTGCATTTTGGAAGATGCCAGCTCAGGACCACACGTTCAGGCCCGTGTTGCAGCACTAAATGTACTTGTGTCTCCTCCTGTCCCAAGGGGATGGGGTGATCCTGCCACAGCAGCCAGCAGCTAGGATTCAAGGCTTTGCCCTAGTTGGGGACAGCAGAGCACTGGGCATCGCTGTCCCCCAAACCCTCACCCACACCTTGTCCCTGGAAAGCCACCGCACCTGCAGCAGCTTCCTCTCCACGGAGGGGTTAAAAATCCAGTTGAGTTGCAGAGGAGGCCGAGGCGGTTTTGCGCTCCTGCAGTGCCATCATGTGCTTTAGGTATGCACTGCAGAGCGTGGCTGGCTGCATCCTGCCTGACTGAACTTGCAGGGGCCAAGGAGGCAGAGAAACTGGTGAGCAAAACCTCAGTGTCCCTGGGTGTCCCTGGAGGTGGCATGTCCCAGCTCACCTAGGAAAGTCCTGTGGCCACCACCACCATATGCAAACACACACCAAGAGCCAGACACAGGGGAGCCCCATGCCCCATGCCACGATGCTCTCTGGGCAACCAAACGTTTCAGCAATTTCGATGCCCTTTGATATAGGATGGAAACCAGCCCCACATCCCACAGGGCTGTTGTAGGCTACAGAGATCTCAGACCAGAATGGCAAAGGATCCCCTGGGAAAGGAGCCATGGAGTGGAAAATGGGGATTTTGCCCTCTGTTTCACCTGGAAAATTCCCCACCCTGGACATTTCTCAATAGGCCCTTCTTGTGCTGCCTAATAAACCCTGCTCCAGCCGTGGCAGTTCCTCAGCTCCTGTCAGCGGGTGCTGTGCCACATTGTTAAGCGAATCCACGGGAGAGAGTGCTCATTAACAACATCAGCAAACACCGTCACGATGTCGTGACAGCACCTACGGTGACAGCTGCAAAGCTGCAAATCGCGATCAGCGATGGCAGCAGCGACTGGCAAGTGCAACACGGTCTCCTGCCACCTCGGGGGACCTGGGAAGGCGACATCCAGCAGCAGAGCCATGGATGGAGGAGCCCTGCACCATGCACAGCGTGACAAGGGCAGGATGCATGGATGGCAGCACTGGGGACTGCTGGTGTCACTGCGTTCCCTTTGCTTGCTGCTCTCTGGCTCCCTGGTGGGAGAAGGCACCTTGGGATGCTATGGCCATGTCTCTCAGGAGCATCTCCTCTGTGGTCAGCGGGAATCCTGCCCCTCCTCAGGGCTATCACTGTCCTTGCACAGCCTCTTGTCCCTTCCTGTTCCCCTGGTCCCCTCAAAGGTACAACTCCAAATGAAACCTGCCTTCAGTTCTCATGCTTTCTCCCATTGTGCTAATGCCAGCTTTCCAGCCCAAAGCTTTGGCAATTCCTCCTGCCCTCGGCAGCTCCAGCCCTTCTTCCCCCTGAGCCTCAGACAAGCAGCAAGATACGCAAGCAAGCCCTGGAGCCTAACTGAGCCCTCATCTATTCTGCAAGGGAAAAAATGAGCTATTGCATGGGAAAAAATGAGCGACTGCAAGGGAAAAATGAGTGATTGCAAGGGAAAAATGAGCTAATGCAAGAAAACCCTAACTATTCCGGGCAGAAGCCCTGCAGGCCAGATAGAAGAGGATGGATCTACATGTGCTGTCAGGCTCAGGGAGAGACAATGGCTCTCAGAGCCCTGGGGTATGCACACGCTTTCCCACATCTTCCTGGCTTGTGGTCCAGCCTGACACAAGCAAGGGGGAAGATGTGCACATCAGGAGGTCCTAGTTTCCCCTCCAGTGCCTCCACTTCTGGAGCTGGAACCCAAAGCCCTCACAGCTCTGCCTGTGCCATGTCCTGGGGCAGAGACTGTCCCAGCGAGCACTGAGCTGCTGGGAGGATAGACTGGCCAGAGAGCAATGGGAGGAAAAGCCTTCCAGGGCTTGTTGTGCTTGTGCCTCACCAAGGAGGCTGCAGCCAGGTCCAGCCCTGCACACTCGGGGACGAAAAGCAGATGCTGTGGGGACACAGTGCACAGTGGCAGCATGGGGCACTCCTGGCTTCACAGAAGCAGTTCTGGGTCTTGTACTCACCAAAAGAACAAAAAGAAAAGAAATAAAGTCAAATGGGGACGAAAAGCAGATGCTGTGGGGACAGGCACAGTGGCAGCATGGGGCACTCCTGGCTTCACAGAAGCAGTTCTGGGTCTTGTACTCACCAAAAGAACAAAAAGAAAAGAAATAAAGTCAAAACTTTTAAAAAGCACCAGGGGGGAGGAAAGCGGAGCAGTCAGAGAGCAGCTGGGGAGCACAATGCAAGGCTCCGGGTTGTGGAACCAACTACAGAAATAGCCATGGCCTGAAATAGTTTTTCTGGGGTGAAAAGAAGTAAAATGAGGCCTGGTATGAGGTGAGGGCAGGCAGGAGCACAGCGGCTCCTCCACCAGGCCCTTGCTTTCTCCTCCCACCCGCCAGCCCGGGGAAGCCATGTGGGAGGAGACCCCTGCCCAAACACAAGCCGGCCCTGTCCCCATGCACACCACAGAGGCCTCTCCATGTCACCACGTTCCCTTGGCCCCATACACCATGGAGGCCTCCCCCATCCAGGTCCCCCTATCCCCATAACACCGTGGAGGCCTCCCCTGTGCTGCCGGGTCCCTGCCTTCGCCCTCCCTGGGGCCTCTCTCAGAGAGGGGTTTGCATTGGAGCCCCCCACACCAGGCCAGCCTGCAGCAGCGTGAATACTTCAGGGCTAGAAGCGTTTTTTCCTTCCTTTCCTTTTCCTTCCTTCTTTTCCTTTTCCTTCCTCGCCAGCCAGCTCACATCCAGCTGGCCAAAGTCACGGTGGCCTCTCTGTCCCCAGAGCAACAGCCCCCCTGCCAAGGCCTGTCACAGCTGTGAGGAACCAGACAGGCCTCACAGGCCTGGCAGCCATTTTTAGGCCCCACACCATGCAGGCCCATCCCTTCCCTGCCCTCTTTGGGCACTGCAGACCTTGCGGAGGCACAGCCATGGGGGACAAGCCAGAGCCACCGCTGTGCTTTGAATCCCAGCCCTGTCCCGGCTGCCAGCCATCCTCATCCCAAGCCAGCGGCACCTACCTTGCCATGGGCCTCCCTCACGCTCCCCGGGCTGGGGGACGGAATCCCTGGAGCTGATGACACTTGTCCATGGAGGCAGGTGGATGGGGGCGTCTGTTTTCCTGGGAAGCTGCTTTTTCAGGCTGGGTACCCAGCACAGCGTTCCCTGGAAAGGTGAGGGTAAGGTGGTGACTCGCTGCCCCACCACAACACCTGGCGGAGATGAGGAAGGATGAGGTGGGATGTCAGGAGACAGTGTTCCAGTGGAGAAACTCAGCCAAAACTCTTCCTCTGTCAAACCTTTTTTCCTCAGAAATTTTGACTTTTTAATCCAACTAACGAGGAACAAAACTATTTAGGCTGAAATTTGCTTTGGCCCCCACCTCAGTGCCCAGTATATTCCTGGTTCCCCCTCACACAAAAGCTCTCTAGCTGGACTGCCTTCACTGCAATATGTGGCTTTGGGTGGCCATGTTCAGTTATTACTTTTTAATGAAAAAAAAAAAAAAAAGATATTAGGGAGAAAGTACATTCTTCGCAATCAAATAACAAAATAAAGGATCTGCCCCAACCAGATTCTGACAAAAATTTCTACTCAGAGGAAATTTATGCCAGCGTAAATGGATGAAAAAAGTTATTAGAGCGGAATCACAATATTTTACATTCATTTCATAGCAGTCTAAATGACAGCAAAAACATAAGCAAAATTAGAGGCCTGCATACATTTTCATTTCTTTCCTCTTTGCATCTCCTTACCTTTCCTAGCCTGCTCCATCTGGAGGTGTGTTTCTAGCCAGCCATGCCTGGCAAGGAGTCAAGGGCAGAGGGACACCCCTCAGATCGGTGTCCAGGGCTGATTTTGGGTAACAAGAGAGAAAGAAAAGCAAGATCTATTTAACCTCACGCTCTTTGTTAAAGCTTTATAGAAAAGCCCTGTGGTAGAGAGGACTCTGTCTATCCCACGGCCACCCTTAACATGTGCCTTCTATCGATGTGAGCCAAAAACTTCCTACAGTCAACTACTCTCTCAGTCCCTTTTCTACTTAAGCATATGTTTAATTTGAGATCACGTTGACAACAGTTGGATGCAAGTGGCTCTGCTTAGATGCTCTCCTGATGTGGGTGTCTAGCTACAGATCAGCCCTATCCCTCTTACTTCCCCCACTTTGAGTCACGCTTCCCAAAATTTTTTTGCTGGCAGTGGTGTCTATTTTAATAGATAGGAAAGAGAGATCTCTTCAGACTTACTGTGCTGCAGTCAGCAACCACCCAGCTGGGAGTTGCTGCATTGCTGTTTCTAATTACCCCTTGCATCCCCAAATACCTTGCAGCCAGTGGCACAGTGGGAAGAGGCTGGTTTTCAGGTTCTCCCCATGCCTGGAAAGGCAGCAGGCAACCCCATGTCAGCTCAGCATCCACCACTCCCGCAACAGCCAAGCCTGTTGCAGTGTTTTGGCCCAGAGGCAGAGAAAACCCAGCTTTGATTAGAGATAAGCAGGATGTTTTCCATTCAGAACTTTCAAGGAGATATTTGACAGGATCAATGGAGCAAACTTCTCTTTAAGCACCATCTGCAGAAGACAGAGATCCAGAGTTAACAGGGAAATGAGCTGACACGAAAGTACTGTCCTTTGATTTCATCTTATCCCTGTGCCAAAGCAACCAGCCCTTAGGAGTGCAATGTGCTATGGAAACAGCGTTCTGCAGTCCTGAGGATTTGCACAGGACCTGGAGGAAACTGGGGAAAACACTGTTTTGCCCCAGAGCAAACCTGTGGCAGCAGGAAGGAGGAGGAGGTCTGAAGTGGCAGTTTGCAATCACTTACCAGCTCCCAGAGGGGGTGGGCACTGCTCCTAATTGCACTGACCCCACTTGAAAGCAGGTTAAGCCCTTCCTGTACAAGTGGGAGCTTGTGTTTCCTGTATTGACACAGGATGTCTGCAGAGCAGACAGAGCAGAGGGCTCTGCCAGGTATCTCCTGATAAATTGAGCTAAGAAGCTGCATGACCCTTCTGTCTGCTGGACACCTCCATCCCACCACAACCAGCTGAACCCACCGTTGACGTCTTCTGGAGCCCTGGCTCTCCCCACTCCACCAGGAGAGGCAGAGGAGGAGGAGGAGGCAGAAAGGCACCGCATGCGAGCTGCCAGCCACCCACTTGAGTCTGCCAAACTTCCCAGCCCGCTCCCCCAGCCCAGATGAATAGTGTAGGCTTGGTCACGCCACCGAGGAGCGTCACCGCTTCAAATCATGAGACCGACTTAAAAATAATAAATGATGGTAAGTGAAAAATGCTCACTTCCTCTTCATTTCTCTGGGGTTTGGGAGGGTTTTGCAAGCCTTTAGATCTCTGTTCTTCAGGTTTTCCAGTGATGGCTAAAAGTTTGTTTTAGTGAAACCTTGTGACTTGTAATGCTCTGTTCTTCAGGTTTTCCAGGCTAAAAATTTGTTTTAGTGAAACCTTGTGACTTGTAATTAAAAGGTCCCAAGAATAAGACTTAGAAGTTAATCAAGCAAAAAAAAAAAAAATACCCAAATATCACTGTATTTGTAATAAAGCTCACCAGAACAGGCTGCAGCAGAAGGAGCTCTTTGGTCAGGCAGTTTGCTTGCCTGTGTATATTTACAGGATTTACTGAGGTCCAAGAGGAATGGATGTAAATTGACATGGAGACAGGGATGTATGTTTTAAGTTCTGTAAGTAATGCATATAACTTCAGCAGGGCGTTTTGCATCACTGACTGCCAGCAGCATCCCCTTAAGCATCTGCAACCAGACCGTAATACAGGTATGGCCTCTGGCTCCTCTCCAAACTCACCACTGTAGGTACCAGAGGAAGAAGGTATCTGTGGGCTGATAGTGAAATCAGACTGTCCACTGCAGACTTACCAATTCTGGTCTCTATTAGCCCAGGCATCTCTATGCCGCTCCCTGTTTTGTGAGCCAGACATGTCCAAGGAATGGGAGTTGAAGGGAGAATGATTTTTCACTGTCTTTTTAATGCAAGAGCTGGGAACATTGAGTTAAATTAGTAGGTGATATGCTGAAAACAAAATAAGATATACAGCTTCACACAGGAGAACTATGGGACTATTTGAGTGAAGATTTTGCGGATGCTCAAAGTTTGCATAACTTTAAAAAATGACTAGGCAAGCTCGTGGAAGAAAATTCCAGTCAGAGCTAGAAACCACAAAGATCTCCCAGTGCTGCAGACTGCTGGAGGCTGCTAGAGAAATAGTGCTCTCAGATTGACCTATTCCTAGACATTTCCCAAAGCATACGCTGTTGGTCACTGCTGGAGACAGAACACTTGGCTGGATGCACTTGTGCTCTGACCTAGTCTGGTCATTCTTTTTCCTTATTTATACCAGCGTAGCAGCACTTGAGGGAGGCAAGATCGGTGCCATTGAGGAGCTGTTTTCTTGTTTTCTTATAAATATCTTCCTCTGAAGGTTTAGTGTCATCAGGAATCAGTAGTGGCACCTTGGGATGGCAAGTCAAGGGTCCAATGACTGTCTGAGTAGAAACATCCCCAAAAGAACCAGCAGGGCTTTATTAATAGACAGCACTGTCAGGTAGCTTGGATGGAAAAACACATTCCTGCTATCAGCTCCAAAGGCTCAGCCTGGCAAAGAGTGCGACTGCAGATTGTGAGTGTCTGTTTCCTTTTCTTTGTTTCCTTGTTGTCTTTTTTTAAACAATCTGCCAATTCATCATTAAGAAATTAAATATTTTATAGCTGCCTTGATGCTGATGACAGGTGCCAGATTGATTGGTTCTGGCAGAGGAAATTTGCTGCTCATTTCTTCCCTTTGCAGCAATAAGTTCTGTGCACAGGGGTAGAAGGAGGGAAGAGCTGAAGTCTCCAAGCTGTCCAGATCTGACCCAATAAAGAGTTTAAAAATAGGTACAATCTGGAAACGTTTTGGTGCCAACAACAACAACAACAAAAAACAAAACCCTGCTAGAGTGGCTGCATTTGCTAGTCCTTTACACAGTGGGCAGAAGGGGAGAGTCCTTGGCAGGGCTAGCAGAGATGTCAAGGTTGCCCTGACTTAGAGGACCCCCAGGAGAAGTACTGTTTCAAACCAGCCACAGTGCTCCAAAAGGAATAATCAGGTAATTGCGCCACTAGCAGCAGAGCCAGAGACCTTGATCACTCTTCTGGCCTCTGCCACAGACTTCCCACAGCAGCCCTGAGTAACTCACTTAATCTCTCTCCTGGGAAGTGAATTCACCTCTCTTTTCCAGCATGGCCTATTTCAGACAGTTTCTGATTAGGAATGAGCTTATCTGTACAGCGTCTGGCACCTCAGGGAGGCATTGGCTGGTGTGACCCAGCACACTCCCCTTTCCCCATTTAACCTGCCTGCTTTCCCCTCAGCCCCATCCCGAATGGAACCCATCCATGTCCTGGAAAAGGGGATTTGCTAAGTCTTGCCCATCTTTGTTCTCCTCCGCCGCCGCCTTCTCCACCGCCTTTCCCATAAGCCAAGTTCCCCTGGGGCAACCTGGTTTATACAGCACTCGGCTGAGGAGACAGACGAGACACGTTCCCAGAGATGACACTAACAAGATTTACTACGTGACTAAGGCTTGCAATCGGTGGTGATAACTAGAGAATTACCCTGATAAATATTTGATATGATTTGGAGAGTAATAATAGATTTTTCTTGCCCACGATTTCCATCAGGAAGAAGCGAGGGGAAAGAGCTGCTGAAAAGGGGAATGTAATTGTGGCATCCGTCTTTCTGGCTGAGGTTACCTGTCCTTGGCAATAGATCTGTGGGGAATAGGCTGGGGGGGGGACGTGGAGGGGCAGAAGGTGACAGGGCATCCCTCAGCCCCACCGCATTCAAGATGTGCTGGCAGGTCTGCAGCTCTGGGAGGACTGAGTGTGTGACTCCATGTGTGTGTGTCTGTGTGTGTGTGTGAGAAGTCAAAGTGAAAGATGGAGGGGGAATAAGAAAAGGAGGCCAGAGAAAGAAAATAGGATGGAAAGATCCAAGGCAGCAATGGAAAAAAGAGCTGGGCTCGTGATGGGGAGGTAGGGCTGGGATGCAAAGGGAGATTTCTCTGTGCTGTTGGATGGAAAAGGGCACAAGGGCTGGCTGCTGCCATAAAGGGCAGAGCATCCTTTGGTTAACCATCTCAGGGCATCCACTACAAAACTGTTTTTAAGACCGTAGGGAATTTTTCATTTCTAAGAGATCCCATTTCCCCACACTGTCATTCACACAACAGGACTCTCCAGCTAAGGAGCTGGGATCCCTAATAGAGGTCCAATATGGAATCTCCCCTTTCCCAACTCTGCCATCCACCCGCTGTGACACAGAAAGCAAATCACTTCACCCCTTTCACACCTGCATTTCCTTTCTGGTTCTTCATCTGCCTGAAATACCTGTCCACTTTGGAGCAGAGGTTTGACAGTGCCTAGCACAGCCTGGATCTTTGGTTTCCAACAGGATAGAAATCGATGTGTCCTGATTTCCCGAGAAGCTGTCACTGGTGGGAGCAGCAGAAGCTCCCTGCCTCTGAAACAGCAGGTCTCCTTTCACTTTGGTGCCCAATTTGAGGCCTCTGACAGTAAGTGTTCACCTCATTCTTTATTCCCGTCCTTATTTTGCACTCAAGTCATTACTCAGGCTGCATTCAGTGGCATCAGCTAAAGGAGATTTTAAGCTAATGCAGAGAAAGCAAGCGAGAACAAAGATCACAGCAAGGAAAGTGGTACTTTGGCATGTTCACATATAACAGCTACTCCGTCAGGTGGAACATGACAGTTATTGTAGGAATCTCTTCATAAACCCTAATACACACTCAATTATATACTCTTAAGATTCCCTTTTTGTTCCATGTCATTCATCTAAAGAAGTGTCAGATGAAGAAAGGCAATAATCCACAGAGACCCCAATTCATTTTATCCACATACTCAGGGATAGTTATTAATAGCAGAGCTGCTGGTTAATTGCACGTGTCCTGTTACAGGAGATCAATCACATATGGAAGAGCTTGAAAACAACTTAGTGTCATTTTACACAGAACTGTTTAGTCAGGGCTACGCTCCTGTCCTTGCTGGACTCATACAACCTTCTGAGAGGGTTCAGATTTGCTGGGATTGAACTATCCTAAAAATATTGTTTCCCTCCCTCACTTTACAGCTGACTCTGGTCTGTCTGCACAAGCTGGTGTTATACTTTTGGGCTGTGGTGTGGACACCATCCGAGGGGCCAGGGCTTGCAATATTGATATGCGCAGCCTTGATGTCTTCCATATTAAAAGATAACAGGAGAGAAAAGGCAAAGGATTGATATGTGCAGCCTTGATGTCTTCCATGTTAAAAGATAACAGGAGAGAAAAGGCAAAGGGCTTTTCCTCTGCAAGAGGCTGCAGACAACATGGTTGTCTCTTCTGTGCGGCAGCAGGAGAGGGAGGAAAGGGAATGTGCAGCACATAACAAACAAAACTAACTGCTCTGCTGTTGATAAATCACCCATCTTTTATTTAGGATCACATAAAGCTCCTAGGCAGGGATAGGGATCTTGTCGCATGAGGTGCGGCACACACATACGAATAAGACTTGAGGCTCTTCTAATTCTTGTCTTTTTTTTTTTTTTTAAATATAAATAATATTTACTCCACAATTAAATCAGGTCTGGAAAAATGAAATATAAATAATAATAACTCCACAATTAAATCAGGTCTGGAAAAATGGGTGAGAGGAGCCCCATCGAAGACAAACTTAATTTCCACTTCTCACCAAATCCTAGTCCAGTTCCCACCGCTTTCAGCTCCCAACAATCTTCACCAGCTCTTGAAATGAACAACAATGACTTCCATCATCACATCGTAAAGGTTAATCTCCCCTTCAAGCAAACATCTTCATGAGAATAACGAGTTTAATTTTAAGGGATAGGTCCTAGACAATAAAGCTACAACTTACTTACTTACTTACACTGCTGGGCTGAACGGATTCACACAAACAAGACTCTATCTGGTGCTGGATTCATGCAAATCCAGAGAGCTGGAGTTGAAAGAAAAATTTGATAAAGCCTCCTTGACTTTTTCCTTTTCTGCCCATTAAGTTGTCACCAGATGCCTTAATTAGATATTGTTATTAACAAGAATGTAATGCACAAATTAAACCTACTCGACGCTTCAT